AATGTCTGATGCAAGCTTGGTTTTAACCGCTGTTACGGTCCGCTCGGAATCGTTTTTCGAACGCGATGATTTATGCAGGTCCTCGTATCCCGTCTGGGTTTTTGTTTTGTACTTTATTTTGTTGCACGATATAAGCCATGCACCGCTGCTGTGGTCGTAAAAAACATCTCAAAATATAAGACCCAGCCCTAAAAATTATAATATACTATTATGCTGGGTAAAGGCCATTGCGAGGTGCACAGTAGTCGCGTAGGTAGATGAAAAGATTTTTTTCTAGTGTGTGTTATGTATGTGTGTGTGTGTGTGTGTGTGTGTGTGTGTGTGCGTATAAAATATTATATTGTGTTTTAACCACATATTATGTGCGATCGAACAGGCATTTTATTTTCGGTGGCGGTGGCGGTGAGGTGATTTACGGTCACGTGTTGCGCGCAAAAAGGCCGTCGACTACCCTTTTTCTGCAGTGGTAATCTACACAAACTCGCCCTATAAAATACAATTTAACCGTCGTCCACACATATATAGGCTAACACGCAAAAAATATAGGTATACACAGAACGTGTATTATCGTATATGCAGAAAGCGTATAATTCACCGAAATATAATATTAAATATACACCGACGACGGGGGTAGAATAGGTGCGGGGGTTGCATGTATGCGAACATTTGACGGTAAAATGTTTATATTAATATTATACGGAACGACAATAGTGTTCAAAGACCTTTTGCCCGGTCGGTCGGGCTGAATCAGTCCCGTGTATATTCACCGAAATATGCATGAGTGGTACAAAAACGGTTTCGAGGCATAAAGATGTCGAGTTAATTTAATAATAATAATAATAATAATAATGTAGAGTTGTTATAAGCTGTGTAGTCGTTTTCGTTGCACGCAACGTAGTTGTATTACTTATTAATTATTATTGTTCTCTGGTAAATGGTAATCCTAAAAGGCCGGTTGAAAATAAAATGTATGTGTGCAGGAGTGCAGGACCCCCGTGATAATTTAATAATTCGATTTCGTTATCCCGGAAAATTGCAGCCATTGCAAAATTTAACCAGTTTCCTCGGCAGTTAAATTGTACATAACTATAGTTTTACAATCGAGATATTAATTATAGTTCCATCATAATAAACTTCTAACTAATATGAGTGCTCTCGCGATTTGTCACTACGTGGCAATAATAATTAAAAACGTTGCCGGTACGTTTCTATCTGTATTAAATATCAATCTTATTGTTATATAATATCATGAGTTTTTCTCAGCGAGGCCCAGCTAGTACTTCTTTGTAGGGAAATAAAAAAAAACATTGTTTATATTATGATATCATATGAGCCGTATCCAGTGAATGGTCCAGGTTGTCGGTTATACTTACTCGCAGAAATTAAAATATAATTGACGTGCGTTCGTGCAAGTTATACATATCGGTAATATTATTACAGCGAGGTCGTATTTATTGTACAATCATCATAATAATAATAATAATAATAATAATAATACACACTGATTTAAGCTTATCCAAATTGAACATAATATTATTGTATTACATCACAGATGTATGCACTTGTGCATCGCACTAATACTTGTATTGGATTCATGTGTAACGTATAGGTGGGTGTTCGCGACGCATTGTTGTTTTCCGCAATCTACAACGAAGCGGCTTAGCTGTCATGTCGTAAATGAAATAGTCACCCACAGAGGGCGATAAAGTTAAATATTGAATTTAAAGCCATTGTATGTATAGTGTATATTGTATATGGTATGTGTGTTTACGTGTTTGAAACTTGGCGGTTGTATCCGCGTCCCAAATCACTTAGCTTTCAATGTCTATATACTTATATCAGATAATATGTGTAATGTGTATACAACCTTTCTTCGCGGAGGTTAAAGTTTTACGCTCGAGTTATTTATCGTTCGACGATAAGCGATAACACGTCGTGTGCACGCTGGAGAGCTACATGATCGAGCCGAGTAAATTATGTTGATATGGAAAATAATGATTTTTATTAAGAAAAAATAAATATTAATACTGCGATTACGCAGAGGATAACAAATAGTATAGAATACACTGGGAGAATAACATTTTTTATATTCAAATGCAAGAGAACCAGCTTTGAAGATAAATAATAGTTTGTGATGAAGATATTTTAAGTACATATAGCTATGAGTACCAAGATAACGGAACTTAGGAGAAGTTAATATCTGGAAATGAATAATCCGACGACTATGTTATTATGTCTGGCAGGGATATCTATATTAATAATATTATGTTAGTATTATAACTTGTATAATACGCGAAGTACACAAAAGCACTGAAACGCGATACACATGCACCTAAATTGCCTACATGGAGTGCCGTCTGAAAATAATAATTATAACTACTGTATAATATCGTGCAGTCTAGACGACTAAAAAATCATCATTTATTGGTTACTTTTATGTGTTTAGAGTTTAAAATCCAGGAAATTTATTTTTGCAAATGATACATTTATTCCACCTAGAATAAAAAACATAAAAAATCTATTTGAATTTAAGTAATAGCTAAGAAAACATTTTGTAACAAGCTGTAATATTATATTTTAATACTATTTAAGAGATGCTGTCTATAATAAAATAATGTACACCAATTTTTTATCATATTATATAAGTTACAAACATCAAGCGTTTTTTTTGGGTAACAACAATAGTAAATATAATTATCGGCTATTTATAAACATGAATATGTATTAAACTATCACAATTCAAAAAAAAATTTTAAGTCATTTAGATCACCAACGACTTGTGAAAAGTTATATACATATTAAAATATTATATCAAAGCGAATGCATTTTTTTTTTAATTCATTGAAATGTATCACCTAAAGGCTAAAAGTAGGCTACCACTGTTACTGGTTTATAATATAATATTATGTTCTTGCATGATATAAAACTAAGTATATAATTAACCAACAAGTTTAATTGTACTACTGTAGGTTTATAATATTAACATGTTATTTAGTTCTTATAACAATAATCAAATGTATACTTATTCACTTGTGACAGCCCACGCTTGTATAAAATATGTGGCAGATAGGGTATTATCATCAACAAATATATAACCTTCGAGGAAAAGAGTAATATTCAATTTGGTCCGTGCTTTTAGTTTTTTTATGAAAAATATTTTTAACGGAACTCGCATTTGATAAATTACGTTTATGCGACACATTATTATTATTAAACACATATACATAAGCGTAAAGTCGGTCGATATTTCAATCGGACCAAATATTAAAGTAATATATGCACATCTCAATATTCGAAGACCAGAGAAGGGGGGTGGCGAATAATAATGACGATAATATTATAACAATCCTGTAAATTTATGAGGTACCTAGTGTTTTAAAACGATTTTTATTTTACGCCCATTATTTACGCCGTGACGAACGCGTGCCTTATTGTGTGTGAAATTTTATTCATCGTAAAAACAATGAAAATGATACGACCTGTTACAATTTTTTTTTTTTTTTATCGTGTTTACTAACAAACCTGCAAGTACGTGAATAGTTTGCCAAAAATAATGAATGGCGATAAATGATAATATTATATTATCAACCTTTCGTTGTTTATATATTGTGCCTACATACCGTTAACAAGCAAGATGGGATAGATGCAAATAATAAACGCTTGTACAATATACTAAAAGCAAAAATAACCACGACATACGTTGTCATTAAATAAGTAATGACACGTCCTGCGATGACGTCAAATAGTATTTTGTTGGATCAGTGAAGAGAGTAAATTCCCTCAAAAAAAGCCTTTACATGCCGTACACACATTCAGTGTCTCATCCTCTTTGTTCCCCATGAGTAACTTTTTTTTTCATTTAATATTTTTTAAATTAACATGATTTTAGAAAATTATTAATGTATTGCAACCACATACATTAGAATTTATATGTATAGTTTTTTTTGGTATGACAATTATCAACAGAAACCCAATAATTAACTGTTTTAGTCAATATTTCTTATAAATTCAAGATTGTCAGCAATTTATAAAGGTAATTTATGTCATATTTTAAAAATTATAGCTTTTAACTTCAATTAAGTATAATTTACATTAAGCACAATAATTATGGTTATGTCCAAAATATTATAATACAATGCCACTAAATATAAAAAAACTAATTTACTCTTCAACTGGGAATCTTAGAGTTACAAGTATAAAAAACCAAATTAATACATGGTTATTTTCTTTATTAAATAATATGTAAAAATGAATTAGAATCAGTTCTTTAAAAATAAAATAAATGTAACATCCTTAAATTTATTTTTTACTGTTTCGTGTTTTTCTGTGTAATAACCATTAAATTTAGTTTTAATATTTAAAAATATTTATTTGTATCTATGATTAAATAATGTAACTTTTTACCACCACCACAAGCATTGTGCTTAAATGAGGTAGATACTTTATTGTAAAATTTAAATATAATGTAATTTGTTTAATTTATGGTTTTCCTTACGATAAGTATTTTGAAAAACAAATGTATATTTTAACCCATATGTAAATATTTTAAGACTCCAGGTGGGAGATGAATAGAGAAAATAATAGTAGGCGGGTTGTTATGATGTACCATGTACACATCGCAACCATAGGTACATTATAATGAATTATAAAAAAAAAAAATAGAGGAAACTAATAAATTGCTATAAACGTTATGAATCTACGTTGGCATACTGATACAGATGTCAATTAAAATGCATAATATGTATGATATATAATATTATGCAACGATGATTACGCCATTGAATTGTTAAATTATATTAAATATATACTTTATATTCGATTTAATAATGTTATATCAACATGTTTAAAGCACGAGATCTTATATTTGTATAATGTTAATGGTGACTGGTGTTTTTCCTGGTCCGGTTTCAGTTTTCCGGAATAATAAGACTTATTATTTGTACATTATATTTTATTTTGCGATTTGTAATATTGTTTTTTTATTTATTTTTTTTACACAGACCGTCTCCGTTACCGTGTCAGTAATGACGCTGACGTCGATTTCCATCGACCGTTGGTACGCCATCTGTCATCCTTTAAAGTTCAAATCTACCACCAGCCGTGCCAGAACAGCCATTATTATCATATGGATCGTGGGACTCGCCTCAGGTAATAAAATAATAAACTATTCGGTGTAGAAAGGGAGACGATAGTAAAAGGTTTTATCGGGGTGACCCGTGCATGGAGTACGGCGGCGGTGTATAAGCGAAATGATTTTTTAATAACGATATAACATCCATGATTTCGACAGTCAATTTTTTTTAATATTTGATATTCTTATATCATTTAAAAACTATAATTGTGCAATATTTTATTATTTTATATTATGACACGAGCTCGTAGTTTTTTTAAATAAGTCTTTTTATTCGAGTTTAATATTGCCCTAATCAATTAGATTTCGGAAGAAATGAGGGAGACTGCTAAAAAGTTTCAGTATAGGTATTTTAATGATCGGAAGTTTAGTCTAGAGAGCGTATATTTCTAACAGATAGTTATTATCATGGGTTATAAACGGAAGGATAAAGTTCTGCCAAAAATCAAAAATGTATGAATAAATGACAGCAATAATTGCAGTATTAAGTATTCACCAAAAATTCTCAGAATTGAAATTTAAATTACAATAGTTTGTTTTTGCTTTTAAAATGTTTTTCCAATACACCACCCAGATTAATCTGTAGCGAAGCGTGACGAATGTCGAGTATTTGATTCTCGTGTCATGTAGTAGGTACTCTTGCAGTCATGCTTCGCTTCGTTTTGTTTCCTTTGAAACACTGTGACATGTTGAAATATATACGTGTCAAAATGTTCCAAAAAATACTCTAATTTGAAACATATTTATTTATAGTTCACCTATGTTTACCAAATACTTCTATGAGCAGCATATTTTTTTTGTCGAACATTTTGACACGTAATCTGTACACATAGTAATATTTAAATATTGTACTACTTGCAGTGTATATAAGTATTCAAGTTATATAAAAAAATTGTTTTAAAAGGAATTGAAAATCACAAAAGTTAACAGAAAATTAGTTTTTTTAATATATCGATTTGTACAAATATATTATGTATCGAGTGTCCTAGTCCGTTATATAAGTGTACGAGGGATGAATTTAGCTTAAAACACTTTATAATTCAGTTGGCATTTACGTTTTTAACGGTAAAAGAATAATAGTAGTAATCTTGTACGGTTGTAGGGTAGCTATGAAGAAGCGTCGTCCGAAATTTAATTTCTTTCAGCAGATATAATAAATACGTTATTCAGAGTTTAAAGTATCTATATCAGGGTTTTATTTACACAACTAACAACAAACTTGAATATTATATAGGAGCATACCCAAATTTTTTTTTTTTATTAAATGTTTGTTAATGTCGGCTGAGTGGAAAAGTCATCGTCAACATAATATTATAATAAAAAAAATTGAACTAATTAAATGTGGAAATAAAATATTTGGTATATTTTCTACTTTCTTTAAATAAGTACATAAGACCCACATAGATGATCAGCGTATTCGTGCACGATTAGTTCAACGCTTAATTTCTTATGCAGTTATAATAAAAATATTCATTATTTAAAATGTAAATATTTTACAGATGTAACAAATCCTCAATTACCTACAAAATCTTTCTCAATATTGTAATAAAAAGTAATCTTTTTAATGCGTTTTAAGTAATGTACAGTCGTAATAAAACATGCCATTGATAAACATTCAACATTATATCACTATATTATGAAAACACGATAAAATATTAAAATAATGCAGATAGAGCTATTGTAATGCACGTTAAGGTTGAAAATTCCCAGAGAGTTATGAGAACCGGATCATTCCGGGAATATAAAATATTAAAATGTTTTTTTAATATAATATCAGGTACCTTATAATTTTTAGTTAAAATATTTTTTAGGATAAAAATGTTATTTTAATAGACCAACGATATCTAAATAAATATTATTCAGCAAATAAAGTAAATACAATAATTTCAATATTGCTCATATAATTAAATTTAATATTACTAATCTTCAATCTTATTTGTGTGTTGTCGAGTAAGCATTTCTGTACAAAAATGTGTTGAGACGTTGAGTCTTGGGTCTTAGGAATTTCATTTGGGATGGAACTCAAATGTATGTGTAATACAACTCTGTGTAATTTTATAACCATTGAATCAATATTATTAGCACCAAATGACTTCGAATTTTTTTCACCTTTTAACTTTTAAAATAAATATACATACATTTATAAGTTACATACACGATACATCTTCCATTCTTTTATAATGCCTTTTAATAGAATTGCTGAATATATTGATATATATATTTTTTCCGTACACCAGATACGGTTATAATAAAATAAATAAATAAGATTTGAAAAAAAGGAATGTTAATTGTTATTGTAAGCTTTGAAGATAAAATATTGTATAAATGTATACCCACAAAAATATAACTAAGATTACCTACCAAACATTTAAGTATTAACAAAAGGACATTTTTGTAAAATTCTTTTTGATTTTTATTTTTAAGTTCAGTTGTAGCTGTTGTTAGTAATTTACCTACAATCTACATACTTAATTAAAGTAGATATTTTAAATTATTAAGCACCTATTTATATGTATGCGCATCATAAGTGCAGAGTGCATATTTTCACATCTAGCACATATTATGCAATATGCATATTTTATTAATCATGGTTGATTTGACATTATTTAATTTAAATTTTTTATCATCTACGATAATTTTACATTATAACATTCCAACGTAAATTCTCACAAACTTGCAATGCACGAATTTGTTTGATTTTAATTGTTTTATTTGTATTAATTAGTTTTGAATGATTAAAAGAAAATTAAAATTGAATTGGTTTTTCACTTATAATTTATTAAACTATGCGCAATTAATTTTATTATAAAATGAGAATGCAATTGCGCATTTAGTGAACATCATAATTAATAGAAAGTAATTATTGTCTTTCATGAATTTTTCAATATAACAGGCCATTCCTGAGGTTACAGGAAATTACCCAATTCTAAACGCGTGACTTTGTCACATTAAATATGGGTTTAGATTTGTATTGGCTATAGGCATAAACCTATTCAAATACTAAATTCATAATAGTTTCTATTTTTTTAAATCTATAATTATTTTTTAAGTACCTATACTTACAAAGTATAAATGTACAGTGAGAACATTTTTCTATTAATCGATTTTTCTGTTTTGATTTTACTTGCTGTGTATGTATACGGTTAGGTTAATAACAAGCTAAGTAAATCGACTAAATAATTTCATAACAGTTGCAGACCATATGGTGATCAGATATTTAAAAAAAATAGTACAACAAATTAAACAAACTTTATTCATTTTGAAAAATAACTGACATAACATATAACACATTTGTAATCTTGCTATTAATTAAAAAATGTATCTATATTTATTATTTGACTTAAATCGTGTGACTTGCATAACAAAACAATTTAAAAAATAATAAACTTTTAATACAGAAAACATTCAAAAACTTTTTTAAATATTATCATATTTTAACCCAGACATTTAACTTACCTACTAAATGAGAAGTAAAATCGAATAGACTTAAAAACAACTAACTTATAAAAAGAACAAATATCTTTAAGGTATACGGGAAGAATACCTTTTTTTTGTTGTAGAATATTATTTTTTATTTCATTTTTTGCTTCGTCTTGATATTATACACATATATTATTGCTTTAAAAGTTTAAATTTAATAAAAGAAAAAAAATCAATAATTTAACTCCAACGAATTCTCAAAAATAATTCAGAGGATTTACGCTGTCAGTGTGTATTTACTGTAGTCTAGAAAGTAATTAAAGAGGAAAGTTGAGAGGATACTGTAGTATTAATAACAACAGTGGTAAAATGATTTGTATGTAAATCTATCAATTTTCAACTATTACCATAATTAATTTGACTCAATTAAGTTTACTCGTCTTGATAATCGTCATATACTTTATAGTTTAACTTAAAAATCATTGAGAACGTCTTCAATGGCTGCATATCGCTGAATGGCGTGAAAAGATTCGCTATACTTCAATCGTATATTTTTAGTGAACTACAACGTGTGTAGAATGTTACATTATTTTTACTCTCAAGTATACCGTTCATACTATACTTGATTTCGTCGTTAGTACACACGGCTAGATAAACTACTGTGTGAAAAAAAAGGTGGGTATGTTTTAAATTTGAATTAATCACCATAATATAATGTTAATATTTGATTGGTATTTCATTATTTCCGTTGCAATTATTATCCATCCAGTGGGTCACTTACGATTGCTATTTTTACATTAAGTTGGCACCTGTGTGGAGTCACGTACTTTTTACCTCCACGTTACTACAATATGTATGTAAAATATTATACGCATAATAATACATAAACTGTACATTAATCGTAGTGTACACGGAGATGTAATCGATAAATATGCAATCGAATGTTCCTCTGTTTGTTTGTTCTCCATGGACCAAAAACTACTGGACCGTTTCCAATAAATGTTTTATCTTATATCAATAGATTCTTTGATACTCGGAAGTTGTTTATAGTGTATGTTTTCAACCCTTATAGATTGAGATGAGGTGGATCACGCATGGATTTGGTTTTGGCTCACGAAAATCGAATATTTGTTGACTATTTACGGATTATATTTTAGTATTTCACTATTATAATTCGTAGAAATAATATGGCGCTTAAAAATGTTTGAAAGTATATTAAAAAAAGAAAAATTGAAAATCAAATACTTATAAACACGATAACAATGATTGCTTATATTATTTGTAAACCTGATTTGTTTTCTTGTTCCTGGATTTATTTTTGATGTAAACATATAAAGGCAAATACTAATCTTCATGATATTAGATTTACGTCAGCTGAGTATTCATTGAATCGTGTCCAAAGTTTTGTGCTTGCATAAAAAATATGTCTTGGAATATCATAATATGAGTCTTGTTTGTAGTTGGTATTTCAAGTAAAATATGGAAAACGATAAAAAGATAGATTAATTATAATCCACAGTGTGAAGTCAGGTAACACTGCAGCTAGTATAACCATAACAATATTTTATGGCGCTTAATGACCATAACCAATGTAGACCCCTCCTTCGCCTCTTGAATTGAACTAAGTACTTACAATGTATTATTATACAAATTTAACGTAAGTACTATCTTACTATAAATCTGTTTCTTATATTATGTAGATTCTTACGAACTGTAATTGTAACAGAAGTGCCCAGTACATTTTTTATTTTTTAAACCCAAAGTAGTGATATTATTATTTATAACATTATAATAGTATACTATACATGTTCGGAGCCTGGTACGCGGCGAGGTGGTTGGCCACAGTCACCAATGTGTGCTGTGGTCAAGCATCGCTTAGTGGCACTAGCTTCCGGATGGGCGACCACTCTGGTTTTTAGTAACGAATCCTCGCCTCCTCACTTGTTCCTGCAACAACCCCACTGCACAATTCTAATGGCCATAGTTTCCGATACTTAAGTTCAATTAAGAAAAATATATATACATCTTCAAATATAATTATCACCAAGGCCGTAGCCAGGGGGGGGGGTTAGGGTTCAGACCCCCCCGAAATTTTTTTTTGAAATAATATTGAATAGTTTTAAGTGCCTATTATATTTGATACGTGTCACTGTGATTACAATGTGATCACAATTTATATAGTGTTAGATAAGCGATAACTAATCTTAATGTACTTTTGTAAAACCTAATGTATAACTCACATAATACCTACAGTATCTAATCTTAATTAAGATTACCTCCCCCCCCGAAATATTTCTGTGGCTATGGCCTTGATTATCACTATATCTAATAATAATCTGATGAAACAACATTTTGATGGTAACGGAATCTACCTCGTTTTTTATCGTTTTTATTTACCTGTGTAAAATAGGCGAATTATATTAGAGCAATCGGTTAAGTAGTAACTATACGGTTTGCGATCAGTCAACTATCCATATAAAATAATATGATTTCAAAGATACAACCGTTAATCGTCGTAATATTATCCCAACATATTCACGAGTACCTACAGACATTTATCATATTAATGAATTGCAGAACCATATGTTATAATAAATCTTGAACTTCCTAATCGTTGGACTATTTGCATGCAATAACTGTATAATCTGTTAAATTAATTACGTCGCGGATGATTGAATGATGTCTAAATTCATTTGGTCGATTTGCATGTGCATTTCATGTGGGTATATGATACCGTGTCTAAATATTTATTATTCGTACATACCGAATATACCAGGTATATAGACATAATCCACGATGCTGATGCACATGTATCTCCAAATTGAGTACAATATATAACATGGAATAAGTAATAACTTTAGATCGAGATAACGTGAATAACGCAATAAAATCTATTTTATGTGTCCTCATTTGCCCGTAAGTCATTTGTATAATTGATTTACCCGGGGAAGTTCTCAAATGAAATGCCGGGTATCTACAATTGTTTCGACTGTACCTACACATAATTATTCACAACAATCGCAAGAGTTTGACAAAACTTGCACCGCTGTATTAACGATTATAACAAACAGCGGGCAACAACGATATGCTGCAAAGACAAGTTTAAGCTCGTAAACTTGTCCGTAAATGAATAATACAGAAAAATTAATTGGGTAAGCACACTTTATTTCGGCAATTTATAAAAAGTACTGTTAGAAATTTGAATAATACGCTTAAACAACAGATTTTCGTCGAGTTGACGAAATAAAACTGCCAAAGGTTTTCATTGAACATCGCAGAATAGTACATCAATATTAATCAGTTTACTTATAAGTATAATAAATACGACAAAAAGTCAAAAAGGCATTTTCCATTCGCCGCACCTGTCTTAATGTTTTATCTCACATTACGATTGAAAACTTTTTTATATACAGTAATGGTGGAATAATATTCGCTACCTCCGAAAATGCCTATAGATAATAAAATAATAAATACAAGATCATTTAAACTCGTGATTTATGCGAGTAACTGAGAATTCAATTTTTAATATTAACATAATACCATATTTATTCAAATCAAAATAATTTGCAATTTCTTTATGGAAATGGTCTATACCAAACAGTTGAACGATATTTATATATTTGTAACCACCATCTTGCCAATAAAGTTAATGACATAGTTGATAACAAAATATATAATGTATTGCGTGATGTTGTTATTGATTGTTATTAATTACTTATTATCATTCTCGTGAGTCATAAATTATGATATTACATTATGACTCATAATACACTGCATTTAAACATATTATAAAAAAATTAAGTTCAATTTGATAATATTATGCTTACGTTATTACACTTTACAGTATGATAGCTTATTACATAAATAAACAATAGTTTCGGGTATTACGATATTAAATATTATGCTATAAGTAAATACATATTATATTATATTTATTATAATAACATAATGAAAAATTAAACATGTCAACATTTTTGATTTAATTTTTCGTTGGAAAAAAAGTTTTATGTTTAGTGACTAATGAATGAAAATATTTACAAAACGGTTTAAACCTGAAATGGGGTAACAAATTACAAGGGTAGAAGGTTTCCGTATAAGTATATAACATATCGAATTCACGATAAGACGCGCAAATCACCAGCCATGAAACATAGTCGAAAAAAAACATAATACAAAACAATGTATGATTAGGTTAGTAGCTTATATTGATACGGTGTAATAAAAAAAACCTTTACTCTAAAGGATATTCATTGAATTATATTATATTAATATTATTTGTATTACCGAAGATAAAATTTATAAAAATTACATGGGGACAGTTGTATACATTTTCTAAATTTCCGTTCAAACATATAACACATTATATGATATATGACTATATGACATAACATAATACTGTACATACTTATAAGCAATATTACATAATACTGGTTCGTGAGATAAATTAGTAATATTTATTAGGTATGATGTTATACAAATTACAAGCATAAAATTATAAGTAATCGATAATAATTTACAACGAAATGATAATTACGTTAACGTTTTCGGTATAGACAGTACCATTAGGTAATAGGTACCTGCCCAAGTTTCAACTCCGTGATGAGTACCCTGATATTGTTAGTAAAATATTAATTATTGTACTGTAGATATGTACATATTCACACTCATATGGTATAGATTGTACATTTCCATTACAAAATAATAATATTAAATCAAAAATACCGTAAACGAATGGAATTTAAACACATTTTACTTTACAAAATAATATTGAAGTTTATTTTAATATCCAATAGGACATTTTTACAACAATGTATGTAAGTACAAGATTGTAGGTATTATGTAGTGATCCGCAAATTATGGACAACAGGGTAAACTTAATTTGAAAATCATAAGAAATATGAACGTTATTACCACTAACGGGTATTTATATATGTAGAAACTATTAAAAACTACTTAAAGGTACTGAATTCATTTGTATTTATTCTTTATTATACTTGTTAAAATCCTAAATTACGAATGCTAATAAAACGTTTGTTTCATTTAAAAACCTTATACCTACATACTTTGGTATGTTTAGTTATATTTTATTTTTCTCTATTCAAATATAATTAGGAAGCACATCAAATAACATGTATAATAAAGTATGTTTAATTATAAAACCAATTGTTAATTGTGTTTCTGTTTATTTTTGTAATTATATCATGTGTTCACTGTTCATACATTTTATTCCGGTATAGGTACATTATAACACATTAAATAATATTATATTATATTATATTATAGATGTGAAGTCTAGCTTTAACTAGAAACCATCTTAAGTATATATTATACATGTATGAATACTAAATGACTAATGGGCCCGTGTAGTTGAAATAGCGTGTGAATGGATCTAAAAATGTACAATATAATATTGGAACAATAAAAAATTGTGCTAGTCATTGTTTGTAAATACTCTCAGCATAGGGAGATTTTTTTTTTTGCTCATCATGCTTATTATATGCTAGTACATTTTTGAGAAACATATCATTAGTTTTATATATTTTGAAGTGCCTATACTAACACTATATACTTGCAAAAATAATCAAATTTTTTACTATTTTATTTTATTATGTACCTAGGTAGTATTATTTTTATGGATACGGACGATGAATCTAAATAGTTCAATATTCATTATTTATGAATCCGTATACTTTAATACGCATAGATAAAAATTTAGAATGTCATTTAGAAAGATGTTTTTCTTTGCAAAAAATATTTTATATTGCTACAAAATATAGTTTTACTTATATATACATACATATATATTTATTGTGTGTTGGTAGATGAGTTTATATTATTAGGTACTAAACATATTACTTACATATTATTATATATACCTTTTTTATTGAACCAAAGCCCGGCAACTAAGGCCATTAGCTGTGGATTTCGTTGCTAAGAATCGCGGGTGGTCACCCATCGGGGAGCTAGCGACGCCGGTCGGTATGTTCACTCAGAGCATATTTTCCGCAAATTGAGCGCACGACCGCGCCTCACCAAGTCACATTAAAATATTATCGCCGGTTATAATTATTATTTATACGTGTAGTATTAAAACCATTATGTACAGCATTGTACATTACAATAATAATACTTACAACAATATAATAAAAATAAACTACGGTCGTTGTAATCTGTGCTCTTCTCTCAGACATTCCAGAGCTGTTGGTGTTGGAAGCCATCGAAAAGACGAAGCGTATTTCGTCCATCTATCTGACCCAGTGTGAAGCTCTGTGGAGCCAAGAGTCTGAGACCATCTACCAGATCGCCAAGACCATCGTCCTCTACATCCTGCCCCTACTGCTCATGTCGGTCGCCTACTATCAGATTGTCCGGGTTCTGTGGAAATCCGACAACATACCCGGACACACGGAAACTGTGCAAATGTTCAACGCCAATGCTTACAACGGTGAGTGTTTGCAGTCCGACTTTTATGGAGACTCATACCTGACGTAATATTATTACAGGCGCCGGTAAAACGATATTACGCGGGAAAAACGGTTCGATTTATTCTCGGCATGTGTGCTGTGTATATTGCCGATATTACTGTGAATCGCTCATCGTTTTAGAGTAACACGATTTTACGTTACGACAATAATTAAATAACCTAGTACCTATCGTAAAAACCCAATACGCCCAAAGTACACATCATGATAATAAATACGGATACAATTTATAGTTTCCGTTGTCATTCGAATCAACATAATATTTGAATATCTTTTTTTATAGCAAGTCATTTTCGAAAACAAAAAAAAAAAAAAAAACAACCTTGATTAATATTATACATTCTACTTTGTTAAATTTAATGGCAACCTATTTACTCTGCAGAATAAAAATTAGATTGCATTTTTTTTCCTTCCTGAGAATACCGTTTATTTTTTGTTTATTTTTTTTAACGATATCAATTAATAAATGATACGTCTAGAACGTTTGAAGTCGTGATCGCTTTAAGAACCATGTAATGAAAGCAGCTTTCGAGAAAAATATTGAAGCGTGCTTGTAAAATACTTGAGTACACTATTATTTATCGTGGAAGAAGAGATATTTTGCATAAAACAATTACTGTGTTATTGTATTATTGTAATAACAAATAAAACTATAACATTACATTAATGTACAAAAATAACCACTCGATTTATAGTCTTAAATATACTTCACCGAAACTCGTCTTATTTATTGACATTAAAAAAAATTAAGTATTCAATAAAAAATATATGAAAGTGCATGAAAATAAATTTATTGCAATCGTAATACTAAACAACAATGTATACTATTAATACAGTCCAGTGCATAAAGTACTTTATATTTTTTAAAAGCGTGTCTACAGTCCAAGCCATGTGGATCGTACGTAGATACGCTTTGGCGTAGAAACTAAAAGCTAGGTAGCAATTATCGTTTACTCTAAGCCCTACTTTTCAATCATAATTAATGATTATCTAGGTATCAACATTAAAAATTTGAAGTGTAAATATATAGGCAATGCTAATAGTTTTTTAGATGATCGGAAAATAGAAGTAAAAGTACTATTTAAGACATATTTGATTGGTTTTCTGTAGACACACTCTGGATGTTTCGTTTGTCTACTCCGTTCAACGATATAATAGAACTGCGCACAAACCAAAACGCGTCGCACACCATTGCGACTACCCAAATCCCCGATTCCCCACTCTAGTCTTATACGCGAAATAGCCACATTCTACATGCAAACAGAGTATGGGTTATTAAATTGAACAAAATTAGTGAGTAGGATAGGTCTTGTTCAAAATGTCTCAATATATTGTGAAAAACTACCAAGATAAAAAAACTGTTTGAAATATACCACTCACAGCGTTTTTGAATATAGAAAATATTAAGAGGTCTCCCGATTTTCAGCAAAAAAATATTGACATTTTTACTTCTTAGGCACTAAGCCATTATGCATTATTAAATGGTGTTATTTATTTATCAACACCGCAGTCCTTCTGCAACACGTATGATCACGGTACTCGTGGTTAAACCGTGCATCGCGAAATTGTAAACCGCAGTGTAAATTTTCCAGGTGCTCTTGAGCGATGGAATATATTCTTATATTAAAAATGTTAAAACTAAGTTTTAATAAGTTCGAAAAACCACCTGAGCGCAAGACACGTACGAATTTACTCACTGGGAAGTTTATTTCGCAGGGTTCAACCGGACGGCGACGATGGGGTGTACCAGCACGATGGCTCAGATAAAAGCCAGAAGGAAAGCGGCGAAAATGTTGGTGGCAGTTGTGGTCATGTTCGCACTGTGCTTCTTTCCCGTGCACCTGATGAACTTGTTGAGGTGAAATTAATAATTAAATACTACTTTACCTGTACGGTATCATATTATTATATTAAACGTACTCACACACTACACACGTGATACGTGAATTATGATAACAGCCATTTACCTTTATACAAAGACACATGTTTAACTTCCGAGTGTTGTGACTTACGTTATAATAAATATATTTTATATTACGTATATTTATAGATACATTATACATAATTACTTAGTCCATTTACTTTAATATGATTTATATTAACGTATACTATCACCCTACAAAAATCTTTTGATAACCAATAATAGTTGTAAAATCAATTTCAAGTGTAATATTTTAATAGTTTATTTAGCAGTAATAAATTCCATAACCGATCGGTCGTTTGAATAATATGTAAATGTGATACATTGTTTTTCTCCAGTCAGGCTACATAATAATTGGTATATAAAATATTATTTAGAACCAAACATTTAATAACTACGTGCTTCATAAAATATATTTATAAGTACCTATGCAAACAATTTGAATTCAATAAATTGGCTCCATAACTGGTTATTTCTGTTATATAATTAGATAATAAGGTTGTGATAATATTTTTTTATTGATCTAAATTGCAGATTGGCAGCACAGACCATTAGTTGACATGTTTTAATTACTATTTACAATTATTATACATTCTATTCTTAGTTTAATAATACGATTAAATTTGGTCTATTAGATTAGATAATTTTAGAAATTTCAGGATTTTTTGTTTTGATTTGGGTTTTGTCCGAGGATTCCATCGAAAGTTTCGGCACTGTTCAAGTCCATCGCAGCTAGGAGATTCGTCTTTTTTGTGTTTGCTAAAATCACTGTAGTTGGGGAATTTTGTGGCATTTGAATTTGTGAAGTTGGTTTCTTGAAGATAAAATATTTTATTTATCTTACAAAATAAATCCAAACAAAGTTGTATAGGTGGTATAACAGTTATCAATAACCGTGGGTGCTACAGTCGAGACGAACTAAATAATTAATCATATGCATATTTTATATCAAACGAAAATCGACTTACGGATTTAATTTAAATGAAAAATCTCAATTATTCCTAAAACAAAAATCACAAATTCAGTGACTTTATGAATATCATAAAATATATTTTTAATGCTTACTTCAATGATGCTTGTGCTATTTTAATATTTATATACTATTCACTATTCGAAAAAAAAATTCTATAGAGTTGGTTTGTAGAAAATAGTGTTATATTTGATATGTTTAAAAGCTAAAAGTCATAAATTTACTTAATTAACTCTAAACACTACTATAATAGATAAATACGCAAATTCAGAACAAAAATACGCTAAATCAATTTTTGTTTATACTTAATATGTCGGTTTAGCTATCAATGTTCCATAATTCAATCTCGCAAACAATCATATTGGCTCGATAGATAACACGTTAACTACTGCATGTCAAATTTGGTACCTTCTGAAAAACTGAAAGAAAATAAATTAAATTAAATATATTTTAATATATAGTTTTAGTGTAAAAATTAATAACAATTGAAAAACTAACGATATTATCTGAAACGGAAAATTGTGTTGAACAAAACCATAATATAATTCAAACAATTGTTAGAAAACACCAATGATTAGGAAACCCTATAGGCTATAATATTACATCAATACTAATTTTTGTACATTTATCAAATTTATTTTGGTTTCAGCATCACGACACATCTAAATTTTGTTTTACCATATTTAGTTTTCGGGAAACTACATTTAGTTCTGAACAAAAAATATCCAAGTAAAAAAAAAATATTACCAACAGAAAGGTTCTATCTGTAGAACTTTTTAGTTTGTAACTGACATTTGTCAGTAGGTGCTGACGTTATAGTATTTTTTTTTACATTTGCCTAGAACAAAAAGCAAATTATAAGACTTAACCTAGAACACTTTCGTTAACTATTAGATTCGACAGTAATTAAAAATCAATCATTATGACAAAAGATAGAATAGTTAAAAATTGGAAATTACTCTGTTGAACAATTTTTTATTTCAATGTAGCACTTTTTGGATCTGAAACGAGTCTATATTGTTTTACGGACGATCAAGAGGGAAGTCCAAATGGTGCTGTTCAGAAAAATTAACATCATGTTCCTCTTGATTCACGTGCTTTGAATATTTAAGTCTCACCAATTGCAAGGAGCAAAATGTTCGTCGGTTCTACCTACCTTAAAATCAAATTAATATAGCGAATTGTACCTACGTTATTCTCGATCGGCATCTTAATATTATAAGGATTGATTTCACAATGTCATTAAAATCAAAGTCAGTTGAAATTGGGTACAGCTAATTGTTTCGTCAACCACGTGACACAACGCGGTGACGATGTATTATATTATTTTACCATAGAACCATGAACACGAGTCTTTTTATAGAAATAGCCGTTCGCGAAACACATAGGATGGCCGTCCCGATTTGACTAATTAAAATGCTTTTCTCGGGACGTCGAATAATGATTCGTCAAAGTGCCACTCGTTCTCAGAAAATCAAGTATATTTCCGTGACAATACTAAGAAATATGTAAATGATGTAATTTGCATAAAATACGCGTATCGAAACGGTGGAATTTATTTCGAAAGAGAAAAACGTCGTGCACCGCAAAGAAAACAAATCGTAAAGGCGGTCATTGGATATAAAAGTTATTTCCGTCTTGGTTCATCGGAAATGTAAATTCGTAACTTTCAATAGTTATAGGTATAAACGTATAAGGTTTCTATTTTATTCTCTATGGATTTGTTTTTATGAAAAATCGATAATTAAAATATCTTCTTTTTTACGGAGTGTATGTGCACTGTACAGAGCGTCTTACCAAACAATTAAAATTTGTTAAGTTTATTAAGAAGATTTTACACGTTCATTTTTTGTCTTCGTCTTACGAGTGAAAAACATAGTAAATTTACGCCCAGATCACATTTAGATTCGTTATTTTAAACATTAGAGTGAATCTATTATGAAACTTGATGGTAGGAATATTATCTGTGTTTGAATGTGAGTTTCTTACGATAGTTAAAGATATATTAGTATATTGTTTCAAAATATAAAATGTATTTACTCATAGGATGAAAATTTAAAACGTTTAAGATGTATAAATATCAATAATGCAAATAGTAATCTCAAATATCCGTATTACAAGTGAAAAGTATTATAATTGTATAGGTACATACGCTGTGATTAAAACATATAAACGTACTAAACGAAATGTAATATTTCATGAATATATATACTATTATACTGATTGCACGGTTAGATTTCACTGCCTGTCTGGGAAATACTTCGAAAAGTAAGGACCGATTTTGATAGGGTTTTCACAGTTGTTATAATATTACTTGGTAAATAAAATAGTTATTATGATTGGATATAATTTCACATCCGTATTTTATATCTGATCAAAACAACGCCGTGTTCAAAATCTGTACACCTTACATTTAATAGAGTTCAAGAAGGGGTAAATCCACGGGCATTTAATTTGTCACGGTCATAGCCGTGAGGGATCAGCTTTCTAGTATTGTATTATATTACTACAACATATTTTGAAAATATGCAATTTTGAAAAGTAGGTTACCTATAGTATTTTGTTTCGAATTATATTATACAAACGATTTTTGTTTAAAAAATTTTACACAAATGGATACGAGACTATACAACTGTATATAATACACCTATGGAGCTGTAATATTTTTATCACTGTAGTGATGTACACTCAGTGTAATATTGGCTGCGTAGAAAGGAAAGTTAATCAATTTGTTTGAAACAATAAAACCTTTTCTCGGTAGTTCGTTTCCACACCACCTACATCACAAAGTATGTCGTGTATATTATACACGCTAATATATATTTATATTAAGGAGCTGAGGAATGAAACGGACTATTATAGGGACATAGAGATTAACTTTTGTTGGTCCCAATACCCAGGAAAGTACTACATTTATTTATAAATTGTATTAAACGAAATGTTAGTATAGTCCACAAAGAAAGTTGTCCAACATTAATTATTTGGTAAATAATAATGAATTTTCTAAGATTGTATAAATATTGCTTTTCTTTGAAAGTTTGGGTTAAAGACCATTTCTGTGGAACACGTGTGACTTTAGCGTGTGGTTTTGAGGGGTATGGCTCAATATTTTGTGCACAGTTGATGTGTGATCATTGGAACATTTCTTCGATGACAAAACAATTGTATTTAGTCCGTTATTTTCAATATATGTGGAAGCGGGATTAGTCAATAATAGGTACACGTAGTCTCACTCACCGGCCTCGGGGGGAATCGTCTTGCTCTGGTCCGGAATCTTATTTGTTCCTTGCAAAAACAGTACCAGAAGCAGTATTATGTACGGTCTTACGGGAACTTGGATGATAAACCGAAACTGTGTTGAAAATAATTTGTTTTTCATTATTCAATATTTTGCATGCTTGTGTTTTATAATATCCGGACAATACCTAGTTATATGTCACACCGACACCACTGGTCCCGTATAGCTATAATTGCATTATGTTCATCACGATTATTCCCTCACGTGTCTCATTTTTATATCTATATTAGACATTGTAATGCCTACTTCATCGATAGTAATTTTGAATTTAACTTTTGTAACTACGTAATGCAGTCCGTGGACGATTTGTATTTACTCGAAAACGCAGTACTGGCGTATAATACCACGTAGAAAAACATATTATACACAATTTTAACTTTGATATTTTAATACAATAATTATCCATTATAGTTTTCATACCTACTAGTATACCTACTGTACCTAATTATCTTCAAACTTATGTAATTTATCACTAATATTTTTAAAATGAGTAGAATAGGAAGAGAAGGAACATTGGACCGAACGAAAATTAAGGAATTCCGAACATCTGGTATTGTCAGTTCTTAAGTTGTTGCCCGCAAAATTGAACTCGTTTGTTTTCTGATCGGTTTAACTTTTTTGGAGCTATGGATGTTCATTACAAAATAACATTAATACACACTGAAGAAA